AGCTTTATTTTAATATTCATAACTGTGACCTTAATGAAAATAGCTTTACTTAATAAGTTATAGATATTCAAAGAGTGTTTAAATTTTACAAACTAAATGGAAACTGCAAATAAATTACGTATAAGAAGTGTATTTTAAATTTGTTTATCTACGAATTGTATTATGATTGGCAGAGATATTGTATTTCTATTACTTATTGAACTGAATAGTTCTTTTTTTATGCTAAAGGCCGTCTGCTTGGTACCAAGCAGACGGCCTACCTGATGGAGGTAATACCGTCGCCCACGAACATAAATGTTGCGAATGCCTCGCCACCCTTGTTAAGGGAACTGGAGGGTAAAAAGTGGGAAAAGGAAGGAAAAGGGAAGAGGTAGGAAAGGCTGGAAAAAGAGAGAGCAACCGGCTCTCTTTCTCATGGGACGAAAAGCAGCCTTTAATGATTAAAAGGCTACTTCTGTGAGAGGGTGATACTACCCCAGTCGAGCCAGCCCATGTTCGAGCTGCAGCTACTTGACTACATCTAGGATCTACCACCTATAAATAATGCTTACTCTACTATTGGTTATAAGTTTATGATAAATTGTATTGTGTTGAAAGTGATTATTAATAGTTCTTTGCAGAACTACATTTAGAATTACATTGTCGTATTAACTGAACGAAACTCGTCCTAAATAAAAAAAATCTGTCAGTATCCTTTAAAAATATATAGCGATCTATTACAAAAGAATACTTGTATTACCAGAAAGTTTTCCACTGTTATTGATTTTTGTTGTGTGTAAGATTCAAATTATATTTGTTTAAATATAACTCACTATTAGAATATCAGGGTTTTATATAAAAATGCCATATATAGTCCATATACGGCATTTCTATTACTATTGGATACAAATTTAACAGATTCAGTATTTGCAAGTTGAAATTGCCATTAATGATTAATGTTCTTTTTTAATATCTTATACGATCACATCAAATATGTTTCATAATAAGTTTCATCATAATAAAAAATGTATAAATGACAAACCATTATTATAAGTAAATTGAAAAAAAAATGGATTGTCGACGTTCAATTTAAAATATATATATATAATTTTAAATATACGCTTTTTAATCTGGGAATAGAAATAAAGAAGAAAATGACTATCACAATACTTTTTCAAATCACTTCATACATCATTTCATTGTCGAAAGAAATTAATTGAAGTAGATCTAGGGTCTTCTCCTTTCCAACCATTCTTCCTTTCTTATCAAAAATATTTTAGCGTTTTTTCCATTTCCAACTGAATCTTTTCCTATTCAAGCACAACCGCCTGAGTAATATCCCATTTATCTTTCAACTTGGTCACAACACGATTTGCGTCAATTAAAATTACTGAAGACATCTCGTCAGTCATGGCGAGTCGATAGATAACATTACTTTAATTTTAATTGATAATTTAATGTTAATAGAGTTTACTTTTCAGCATTTTATATACTAAAATATTAACATTACTTTATTTCAGCAATGTCTTCAATACTATGGACTTTGACACCTTCTTGCGATCTTGTATTTTCCTAACAACAGCGTCTTTGAGGCCTCGGCCTCGAATTTTGCGGGCAGCGGAGCGGCAGCGGCGGCGGCACGGAAACGTATACATTTCTCCAAAATAGCGGGCAGCGGGCACCGCTGTATTCGAGGGTCGGTCCATTTGATTATACGCGTAAGATCCTGCCGCTCCCGCTGCCGCTCCGCTGCCCGCAAAATTCGAGGCCGAGGCCTGACATTACTCCTATTCCGTTACCTTTTATAATACAACATGCACCAATAATATTGAAGTGATGTAATAAAAAATTGAATCCGAGTAACTTATAATAAAATAAACAAAGACCAACATATTACAATAGATTGGTAGGAAAGTGATCATATAACAAGAGAATATATACATATATGTATAATAAAAAGATTGTATTGCATTCATCAGCTTTTTATGATGTTTTTATTACCTTTTGTAACATCTGAGGTATGACCGGCTGGTCATTAAATATTGAATAGAGATATGTAATGTAGAGAGATATGTAATGTACTTATAAATTTTATAACATGGGGTTTTCCATTATAGGCTAATAAAATTAAATGTCTTGAAAATTATATCAATAGGTTTACAATATTTGTATAGCTGGATTGCACAAGTGAAGTAAATTTAAACTGCGTCGAAATATTAATACACAATGGGTCAACGACGTTATTGTATTAAAATTTGTTCTCTTAAGGATTAATATCATTCCTTATGTTACCCTCAACATGTGCTGCGTGTTTCATACTATAAAAATTGGACTCATCAAAAATAAAAACGAAACCTTTATAAAAAAATCTAGATTTACAACAATTTGTTTGTAAAAAAGTTTATCAAAAAAAAAATATTTGAAAAAAGTAATTTTGCTTTAAATTAGAAAAAAAGAAATCGAAGTGAAAGATAAAAATGCAACTAAGTCAGAAGATTACAAAACCCATTGCTTTTATGATACACGCACGCTCCAACGCTTCGTCGGTTCCTGTGAGCCAATTTCCTGTTAGTAATTTTTATAGACAGTATCCCATAAAGTATCTCCAATCCTCCAAGCTTTAGCATTTTTCGATACAAGCGTTTACTAACTAAAACGTGTCGTATATTTTTATGAGACATTTTATTTACCCTTATACTAACCTTTTCTGTACGAAATTTGTTAACCCGTGTCAAGTATTAAAATAAATACGTATTTTTTGAAGATACTATAAGAATATAAGTAAAAGTATTGGTTGAGATTTTATTCTTTTATGTATAAAATTTCCGTTACTAAGGTAGTCAAAATAATTTAAAAAACGTTTCCCTCGAACACCTGTATCAATTCGTATATATTTAACATATTTATTTTAAAGTTATATATAGTTTTAATGGTAAATAAATGCAAAATTTCAAAGATAACAATGAAATACAGTTGTTTACATACATAATTTTAAAAGTATTATGAGAGTATAATGATATCGAATGAAATTATGTACCTAAATAGTCGGACCCAAAAAAATTATCTTTGTTTATTTCCAAATAAAACCGAATTCAAAATTATTTATATGATGTGTTTAATGAATACATTTTATGGTTTAATTATAATCAAATATATGAGTAATCGAATGTGCTATTGAGGTGGTTGTTAAGGGGATTTTGCTTTAGTATATTTTTTACCAGTGTCGAATACAGATCGTCTCAACATTACGTTATTCACATTTAAAAGTAAAACGTTCAACAACTTATAGTGATTCAGAATTTATGAAAAAATACTACCAATTTAAAAAAGGTGACCGTTTATAGACTACAAATAAGATAAAAAAACTGTTCAATAAACATTTAAATTTCCCTGCCATTGCTATAATCGGAAGTCTTATTCGTTTCCATATGTAAAGGGAATCCTACTTGAATAATAGTAAGTGATTTATTTATCTTTTTTATTTATGTAATAAGTGCTTTCGATTATTTTTATTTCTGTATTTTATATTGAAATAAAAATAAATTGATCGTTAAAACATAAAGAATTTTAAATAAAATATTATTATACATTTATTTATCTTAGAAACTCAGATAGCATAAAAAAATCAATGTAGATATTAACTATACTATAAAGTATAAACTATAGTTACCAGGAATATGATTTAATTGGTAATAATTATTAAAATTGATTTTATTCGCATGTTCTGTACAACTATCAGATGTTTTCATCATTCGATATAGAATCATGTGCATAGCTACATTCGTCGTTAACAGCATCTTCATACTTTTATTTGCTTTATACTAAAGGATTTCTTACTACTAAGAATTTGAGGCACGTGAGTTAAATAATGTACAATACAAACAAACATTTCTGTTAGAAATGATCATATTCCACTTTAATCTACAGCTATAAATATAACTTGCTATATGTACATTTTCCTTTACCTATGTGTATTAGATAATTAATGGCCCAATAATTTATACCCAACTTGATTTTTAAATTGAATGAAATAATATAATTCATAGGTTAAATTTGCTACCCAAAAATTCGATTAAAGAGACTATCATATTATGTAAGACTTTGGCAAGTACAACTTCCAAATCTCGTTTTTTCGGATTTACTATGCGATTTTATAGTTAAAGTGTCAATCTCATCTAATCTGCGTGATTAATGCACTTTAGTAGAAACTTCGGCTTAAATGTTTCATAATAAATCCGAAAATCATAGTTTTATTTGACTTTATAATTATTGCTTTCAAATATCTTAAATTTCTAAACATAATTAATCTGTATGTTATGTATCCAAAAATATTTTGTACACTCATTAATTTTAATCATAAATTAAAGCTACCTCTTTAAGATTCTCTTATCTCGGTCCTCAATTATTTAAATTAATTTGAAACTCACGTATGTTTCATTTATAAAAATGTCATCTTTCGAATATTTTCGTGTTTCTTGTGACTAGAGGAATAATTAATTATTAATGCATGTATTTAATTATAACTGGGTATGAAATTATCTTCACCTTCCATTATTAAACAGTTTCAAATAAAGAAATATAAGAATCCTCATTTGTTTCCAGATTTGAACAGTATTTTTTTTTTAATTTTATAAAATAACCTCTTTCTGACGTATTTTGTTTAGCGCCTTTACATTGATAAAGCCTAATAATTTTAATACGCCCAGTGAGAACTCTTATTATTTATTATTGAAGTGAAACTTGTTAAATGTGACTTCCAACAAGATTTAATATTGAACAGAACTACGTTGTCGCGCCATTTTGTTTTGGGTTTTCATTTGGCATATTTTTTCAAATTTTATCCATATATATGTCATGCAATAATATACTTCTTTATTGGACAAATAGAACAAAAAGAAAAATACATGTACAAAATTATTAAGTAACCAAATAAGTTTAACAAGATTGACGATGTATTATTAATCTGCTGTCAATATTTTTTTTAATATTTAGCTCAACAAATTCTTTTGTTTCAGATAAAAATGGTTAAATTCACAGTATTTATTTTACTAACAGTTTGTAGGCAGTCACTGGGACAGTATGTCTTGCTGACCAATCCAGGCCGTCCAAACTTTCAGGGTTCAACCCAACAAAATAATGGTATATTTTCAGTTCAAAGGCTACCCGTGAATGGGCTCGGGTAAGTCTAGTTACTCAGTATAAGCTTAACATAGAAATATTAATTTAATAATCACTAAGTAGCTAAACCACTAGAATGTAACGAACTAATGCCTTGTACTCAATGTGACTAACGGACTATGTAAAATGTGATATTGAATTAAGTCCTAAATTTTTCCAAACAAAAAATAATACTTCAATGAATATTTTTTCATTATTTCTATAAATGTGTTACACATAAACACGGATACATGATGCTCTCTTTTGTTTTCAAAGCGATAATTGACAAAACAGGCAGTGCCATATTAATTCAAGCAAATTTAATTAAAACTCGTAACATTATATTTTATTCGTTTAATGATGTTTGTATTTGAGTATAACTTAACACTGAAACATTTTAATAATAACTGTACAGAATATAATATAAAATACGTCTTAGTATATAATAATTAACTGGTATTAGAAAATGTACATAACAGTAATTTTCCTAATAACTACTAAATTGTATTGAAATTTAACCAACAGTAGCGCTCCTAATTAATCAGTAGTTGTATGTTGCATGAACTAAACTTGTGTTACCATCCAATTTGTTACCAGCTGTCTCCGAGCGAGCAATATTGAGGAGCTTGCACGGCAAGTAAATATAAGGTTAATTATATTTATTTATTTCTTTTTATTTTAACTTCTAATAACAAAATATGTATAGATGATAATGTTCTACTAAATACAATATTTTAATCACCATCTTAATGCTACATTGCCTGAAGCCTCTTAAAATATGTAATGCTTATACTAACTTGAAATATCTAATGAATTTAACAAAAACAATTTTTGCAGGAATATTTTGAACTGAAGGGTAATAAGAAATGAAATTTAATATTGTTGTTTAAGTAGACAAAAATTATGAAACAAATATGTATATAAATTGTAGTAATTAGTGAAATAGCACATACAGTTTTATGAATAACAAAAATAAAATATATTCGCTGTTATTTGGAGAATATACATATTTACGTGTTTCTACTTACACAGATAAAAACAAAATCAAATATCTACTATTTCAAATAAAGTTTCAGTAACCCACCCCCACCGGTGGGAGCAGCACAAGATCCGGCCACGCAAACTTGTGGACTCGCCCCGCCATTTTGTGTTAAATCTCGATACCGCACTATAGATGGCTCCTGTAACAATCTTCAACGACCCACATGGGGAATCCCACAAACACCTTATGGCCGATTGGTCCATTATAAATATGCAGACGGTACGGAATATTGATATATTTAATTAGCATGAATTATTAACTCTACTTCTACGACGACGACGACGAAATTAGTATTATACTATTATCACCAAATTGTAATAAAACTCTCAATGTAATAAGTATCATATATTATAATAATAAATTAAAGCCAAAATTTGCTAAGCATTTCCTGAATCATATAAAAACGTAGACTGTTTTTCAGATGAAATGGAAAAAACATTACAAGGCTATTCTTTTTTATATTACAACATTGTGAAGTGATTTTTAGCGTTAAATAAAGTCAACCTTTTTATCCTCTTCATCTTATTTACGTCTTACTTGCACATTTATGGCATTAAAATGTCATCTTAAACGACAGGTGTCTCTGCCTTCGCGAAGTCTGTAACAGGCGACGACTTGCCTAATCCCAGAGAATTGAGCAACATATTGTTCCCTGATCAACACCTTGTCGATCCTGTGTGGAATTTGAATGCACAGCAGTGGGGACAAATTATAACACATGACATGTCATTGACAGCAGGAATACCACAGAGTCGTAAGTGCAATATATTTTTGAATAATCCATTATTAAAACTAAGTATGTCAAAATGTAAACTCCGATGGACACTGAAAGGATTTTAGACCCTTGTTTCGAACTCTTCACTTTTTTCATTTGTCTTTCCTTCTAATATAAAGCAAATTTTCAGATAAGGAACCTGTTACTTGCTGTGATGACAACGGACAGCTAACTCCAGATGCGGCTACCGATCGTTTATGTGCACCAATCCTTATCCCACCGAACGATCCGGTTCACTCTCGAATTGGTACTCGTTGTATGAACTTTGTTAGAACAGGCACAACGAGAGACAGAGGCTGTACACCACCATTCGCCCCTGCTGAGCCGGTAACTTTTGACTTTGTTTCTAGTTTGTTTTTGTTACCGAATTGTTGTTGATTATTAAAAGTAAATATTATGATATTATATGAAACAATAACACTACATAACTATTCGCAATAAACATTTGAGAAGCAAAAGTAACTAAATAAATTAAATTTGGGAATTAGTTTAAGTTTTTTATAACATTTTTATGACGTTTTATTAGATTTCAACCGTAACAGCCTATATGGATGCTTCATTCTGCTACGGCAGCAGTGACGGACAAGCTCGTCCAATTAGAGCTTTCCTTGGTGGTCGTTTACAAACCTACTTAAGAAGAGGCTCCGAATGGCCACCACAAGATCCAAATGTTACCGTAACTTGTGAATCTGCACAATCACCCAACGAACCCTGTTACTTAGCAGGTATTGTTCATTTGTAATAGCTAAAGTATTTGTGTTTTTGTGCGTATGCTTTTTTTTTCTTAGTCTTTATGTTAATTCGACAATATATATTACGATATATTTGTTTCTGTACTGGTTGATAGAGACTTATTATAACTCTCTGATGTCTTGTCCCAGGTGACATTCGAGTGAATCAAAACCCACAGCTCACATTACTCCAAATTATAGTAGTCAGAGAACACAACAGAATTGCTGACACACTAACCGCTCTGAATCCACATTGGAACGACGAGACCACATATCAGGAAGCAAGACGTATAGTTATCGCTGAATTACAATATATCAACTACTATGAGTACCTGCCTATTTTCCTAGGTAAGTATGGACTGAATAATTCATAATGTAATGAAGTACTCGTGTAATATATGTATTTCATATACATATCAAACCTCATGTTCAGACGCTATGATTGATAATGAAATATTATGTTTTTCCATAGATTACATATTATCCGATATCCTTCGAAGTCAATCGAAAATCACACTACATATTTAGCTTTGTATAAATAAAAAACTTAGGGTATTAAAATCTCGAAATGATCTCTTCATTCTGAAGTAGTGTTATAGACCTGTAGATTATGAAGATATTATTATTATCTTTTTTATAATAATTGGCAATTATTTCGATTTAGTTTCTATTTTGTAATTTTATTCTAATCACTATAAATAATCCTTGAAAACAGATAATAACGGAACCATTATATCAGCATTGTTTTTATAATAATATTTTTTGTAATAATCATTATGAATTAAATTGCAGTTTGTTATTTATTACTTATAAGTTATCTATTTATCATTCTCATAGATCATATTTCTTTTTGATGCTATTGCAACTTTCCATAGTAATATTTCATAATAGTGTATTGTATAAGTCATATTTAATATCTCATTCCGGCTTATTATTATAATGAAACCCTCATAAATTTTAACTCCCGACCGATTTCAATTTCAGTATTAATGTGTGGCGAACGCATTAGGCTATATTTATTTAACTATCCTGTTTCTTTAAAGATAGTACTCTACTAAATAGTTACAAAAATTAAAAACTATTGGTAGTAAAAAGGAATTTCAGATTCTTCTAAAATACTTAGTATATTTGCACAATTCATATAAACATAGTCTACTGGAAGTAACGAATATAAAAGTAATCACAAAAGTGTAATAAAAAACTGTGGTCGTTTATGAAGTGTCTTAAAATCTTCCAGGTGTTGAAAACATGATAAAAAACAAACTTATATATCCTGGAGCAAGTGGATACATCAATGATTATAACCCAAATGTCGATCCTACCGTGTTAGATGAACACGCCACCGCTGCATTTAGACACTTCCATACATTAATACGCGGATATTTGCAGTCAGTATTTTTCCCTAAGCGCAATTTTCCATTTAAATATAATCTATTAAGTTGAAATAACTACATTTGGAATTCGACTACAGTTAATTCAAAATAAATTGCTTTTCAGATTGGTAACAGAAGACAGGCACTTGGCTGGAATTGTTCGTCTGAGCGATTGGTTTAACCGTCCGCTATTATTAGAAATCGAAAATGCTTTTGATGATTTAACAAGGGGACTCACTTATCAGCCTCAAGGCTTTAGTGATCGATTTTTTGATAGCGAAATCACACAGTTCTTGTTCAAGTAGGTTAATTTATTGAGGCTAATGGTAATCCCATGGTATATGTAATACTTAAAGGCCCTGACTGACCTTCAACCGTAATTACTATAAATTTATTAGGGATATTATGATTGAAAAACTATAAATTAAGAATAGTTTTACAGTATAATTTCTTGTTAAACCATTTTCCTATTGACAATGGCATTTAATATTAAAAAAATCCAATACTTTTACGTCTGTTATAAGTTAGATACTATATAAATTGTTTAGCTTTTCAAATTAAAAAATTTTTTGCTCTGTTTTGTAGAAAACGTTTTATGTTTTATATTTTTTTCATTTAAAAAACGGACGTGATGAACCGGATTTGAAGTTATATTGTCAATATATTTCACAAAGGCAACAAAAGCAACAAAAGATTTCAGATTTTTTCATTTTCTATTTCGTTTTTAACTGGAGTGATATTGTTAATATTTTTCATATAAGTGGACAGGACAGTTATAGTTCTTATTTTTATGTTATCTCTCTACAAAATGTATATATAGTATACATATGCCACACTAGAAAGCTTTGTTATTAAAGCCTTCAAGTTGAGAGAATGCCTATTTAAAAAGAATTGTGAGCAGTTAATGAGATTTCGATACTATTATGACTCATTTCATGTACAGGCGTAACAATACTTTTGGTGGTGATCTCCGCGCGACGGACATACAGCGTGGGAGAGACCACGGCCTCGGCAGCTACATTGCAACTCGCGCCGTATGTGGCCTTCCAGTGCCAAAAACTTTCGAAGATATGACAGATTTCATTCCTAAAAAGGTAATCATGCTTAGCAGTTATCACGATCGAAGTTTGCTGTGAGTAAGCTTGAAATTTTATGATATCGAAACATCTACGTTCATGCATCATAATAAGACGTGGTTATTAAATATTTTTTTTAACATAAATCTCTAAAATATGAGAATTACAATGTAGATGATTAAGATTATGAAATACTTTGTTTATTTTTTAAATGAACCTTTTATTACGTCATTTTTGAATCATAAATACACGTAGGAAAAGGACAAAATGGTAGTGTTGTTAATATCTCATTATCTTCAGAGCTCTTCAGTTGTGTGTATTAGTTTAGTGATTATTATAAATATTTTGTTCAATTCCAAACATTTTTCTATCATATCAGTTATCGTAATTACCACGTCTCCTTACTCCAATATGCGTATTATAATTAAAGCTAATAATTTGATATATAGCCCACTAATGCTTCCTATTATAATAACCATGTTCCAATTATAATTGCAAAATTTAATATTTTATTTCAATTAGTATTCGAAAATTAACAGTTCATTGCCTACGATCACAAAAACAATTATTAATTGGAGTCTTAGTTAGATAGAAAAATCTGAATTTAAAATCCTATTGACAAAGAAATATATGTCCACAGAGCGTGGACCTCCTAAAAATCGCGTATGAAGCTCCTGAAGATGTGGACCTGGTAGTGGCAGGATCTCTGGAAACTAATGTACCAGGAGCACAAGCGGGGCCCACTTTCCTATGTATCCTCACAGAACAATTTTACCGCACACGTGTTGGTGACAGATTCTTTTTTGAGAACGGAGGAGATCCAGAAACAGCATTTACTCCCAGTAAGTTGATACTTTTTTATTTGTTTGCAAAAACGACAAGGTTCTTCTTCTAAGTGATCTCTGAGATCTAGAAAAAATATCGCAACGTCTTGCTTTAGAATCTAAACTTTATTTATTACGTAAATTATGGAATAAGATTGCTTTTAAAAATTTAAAACGAGATGCTGACTACCCATTATACTTAAAATTGATTACCTTCTTGAAAGCTACTGCTTTTATAAAAATATCTTATAACCTCATAAATCACTCTTGTAAAATACAGATACAATTTAACTTATTAGAAACTTAGTTTTTCTGAATATATATAAATTATAAATAAAATACAATACTGAAATAAATTCGTTAAATACATTTTATTTTGATATTGTAACAAACTTGATTATTCACAGATATGTGTGTAATTATTTAAGAAATAATTTTAATTGCTAATGGTACTAGAAGGTTTCACTAATAAAATATTACTTTATATTAAAAGGCCAATTAGAATCCATTCGCCATGGGTCCTCAATAGCTAGGATTTTATGTGACAACGCCCACAACGTACGACACATGCAGCCAAGAGCCTTCCAACAAATATCGACTGGGTGAGAAATAACTCTCTATTATATGTTACTTTAACGTGATGTATAAAGACAGAATAAAAAGTATCAATAAATTTTATATCAAGATCATGGTTTTAAATGTATAATTTTAAAAATCGGTAGTATAAGAAATATAGTAATAATATGAAAAATTTTCAGGAACATGCCAGTGCCATGTGAACAGTTACCCACCATTGATCTGAAGTTATGGCAGTCAGTGGGAAAGTGAAATAATTACAAGTTATGTAATCGTATATAATAGTATTTCTTTTTATATTTTTTATAGTGTGACTATGTAGACTATGGAGTCTGAATGAATGATTGATCGACGTTAATAAAATGTGTAATTTATAATACCTTTAATCGCTTATATCCTGTACAGATTTCGTAAATAAAAATAGTAAGACATAAACGTGTATAATTTTAATTTAAATGCGAATCTAGCAAAAATATTATCTTTTATATAATTTACCGGTAACAAAAACTTTAGTATGAGGGAAGTGAATGGCCGTGGGAGAATATTGTAATTATAATTAAACATACAACAGTATAAACATATTTAAAATTTATTATTCATAAATATTCTCTTAAAACAATAACTTAGAAGTAATAAAACTCATAGCAAAGATTCTAATAGTATCAGTTAAATAGTAAATTAAAAAGAAAAAGTACAACATTGATCAAGAAACTTATTGAATACTTTTTTAATTACTGATAAAATAAGCCTGTGTGCACTTTAATCTAGTAAGCAAGTTGTTTTGTATTGTAATTATATATTTTCTTTTACCTAAAAATATTGTACACAAACCATTTGTTGAACTATGAAATATAAGAAAGGAAATAGATGTCAACTAATCAAGATGTTAAATCCTTATGATGTCGTAACTGAAAACCACAAAATTAAGTTTTATAATAAAACATAGCGCTAAGAGAATCAAAGAAAAAAATCTTACTAGTCTAATTTGATCGAGTGATATTCCCCAGCTAGATAAACAAAATAGAAATACAAAACAAAATATTGGTATCTTACACAAATTTTGGTGGGTATATAAAATTCGACATTACAATTCTTCATTTTAACGCTGTCAATAGAAAAGTTTCCTCAAGTTGTAGTTGACCTTTTTTATTACACTTCAAATTTTTTATTGATCTCATTTTGTTTCTTACTATGTATATTCGTACTTGATATTTCTACAACATAAATAAGTTAAGAGAAGTTATTATTTACCGCAGCGAAAGAAGTTATGGCCATAGTTACTATTTGTTTTTATAAATGAGTTCATATAAGCTCCTTTTGGGAAGTAACCTTTATAATCTTTTTTGACTCATTCATTAAATTCATTCATTGGAATGGTTCATTCATTAAATTTGGATAAGAAATGAAAGGTGAATTCAATTACTGAAAGAATAACGATCATCGTTAACCGTTATTGATAGTTAAGTAATCTATTCGTCGGACTTACTAAATATAGAGGGGATAATCCTGGTTATCTGTAAGTATTTATTATGAAACATATCCTATCCTTACTAAAGCTGCGTTATATTTCATGGGATAAGAAGTATGAATTATCATTATGAATTTTATACAGATTTGAACTTATATGTACATACATACATTAATATATTAGAGTTGAAATTTAATCCGTTAAATTATATAAATGTCATGTAAAATAGTGTGTAACAAGTAATTAAGTTAACTGTCAAAATCATTGTTTTTATAATTTAATTAAAAGGACTACCTTAATTCAAAATCACATGAAATGTATAACAAGTCTAACCTTACCCAATTATTTTAATGGCAGTCCTGAAAAAATAATGTAGGCCATAAATGCAAATTTTCTCATGATATGTATCATGTCTGAATGACATAATACTTTCAACGATGTTGGAGTTCCTTACAAAAAGGGTAAATGAGTAATATAAGTTAAACGAAAATTTTGTACAAAATATTTTGTATTGACAAATTAAAGAAAACTTAGCAGTTTTCCAAAAGTTGCTATATATTTCACCTTTACTTATTTTGTAGGATGACGTTATCAAATTATATTTAAATGAGACTTTTATTGTAATGAAAAAAAGAACAGAAATTGCTTTTTTCTTACAAAGACAAAAAGTGGCGTTACGAAAACACTTCTGAGCCACAAACGAACCAAAAGCCTGTTAGTTCCCGCGACCCAATTTAATAATAATAAATTTTATGACCCATTTCCTACAGAACCTTTTGATCTCAAAATCTTTAAGTACCATATCTTCTAATAATAGAAAAATATGAAAAATATTTCTTTTTTGTAATTCTTTATCAGTTCAAGAATAAATTTCTAAATGGCAACATGTTTCTTGATTTGGAAACGTGCTAACGTTATAATTTTAAATTTTATTGTTAAATAAAATGTTTCTTTCTTTTGCATAGTCAATGTAAAAGTTATTCTTACTTAATTCCTTTTAAGACAAGTTTTAGTTACAATAAAAATTTATATAATGGGTCTCTACCCCAATCTCTATTAGCCTTATTGACCACTTTACTTAAATACCATAATTTTCTTTTTATATAAGTCACCAACAATTCAATAACTTTATTAATGAAGTAATTATTATCAGGATTTAATACTTCAACTTTTTTAATTTAAAAAATGCTAACTTAGTTTCTACTATTTAGTAATTTAATCTAAGTTTTTTATGATTTTAAGAAATGTTTTTTAATTCAGGCGCTTAAAACCAAACCTGTCATCGTAATCATTAACCATATTCTACTTACGTTTTTTTAATATTTTAAAGTAATATTATACTTATAACGAGTATGCCCCTTTTAAATTATATTCTCTATTAGATTTGCTTACCCTTGCTTACTTATCTTGGTTTCATATAAACTAATACAGTTTTTATAGTCCTACTCTTATCGTATGTTCTATAAATTAACGAATAGATTTTTTTCAATCAGATATTGTACAAAAAATATATGTATATTAATATTTAAATATAAATCATAACTTTACTTGAAGTTATTTCCATCTTAAGTAAAATAATAAGACTCTTAGAAGGAATAAGAAAAAGATTACTAAAAAACTTCCGAATGTGACGAGTAAAGAAAAACTTAACATAAAGGTAACTCCAGAAAAATACTAAAAATACAATCTCATATAAGTTATTTATTAAAATAATGTTATATATTCTTCAATTTGAACGTGAGTTTTCTATAATAAGGGAAATCAAAAGATTCTTTCCGATTCATTAAAGCCTCAGGACTGGTAACAATTTATGTAAAGTAAACATAATTTTTGGTTGAAAAACGGGAATAAAATATTTTTAATTAGTATAAAGAACGGCATTTATAATTCTGTTAACAAGTTCTACTTACTTCAATAATCAATTTCAATACATGCCTTAAACGCTCGTTACAATTTAATAAGACACTTCTAATTCACAATTTCTGTAAATATTTTCCGCTCTTTTCTGTAAATATTTTAACACGTAATTTGAAGTGTAATAATTTATTTAAAGTTTTAAATCAAGAAGGAACGCTTCTTACCTTTGTATTTGTGATACTATTTAAATAATTAAACATTACACACGTAGTTATTCATAAACACAAAAGCTATAATGAAATCTTAAGTGTCAAAATTAAAACAACATGTTATGCTCAATGTACTCATAATATAACTATAACTTACTTAATTTTATTTCTTTATTAAGGTTCAAAGCTGACAGAATTGTTTAACATTAAAAACAAAAGCTACATAAAATTAAAATCTTTATTTGAATTTTAACTGACAGGTTTGGCTTCTGTGTAACGTAACCTCAGAAACGCTTTTCCTCGTTTAAAGGGATTTTTTGTTTTATACTTGGAACGTTCTACAAAAGGTGGACCCTTTGAAACTTTTACTTGTATGAACCAAAAAGTATAATGTGTTTTTTCTTTGTACTTTGTGACACTAATATTGCTTATTAATCATATACATACATAGAATACCTGTGTATAACGAATTGCAGGTTTACTAGTTTACTACTATGTTTAAATAATATATATAGATATATAAAGTTTAACTTTCAGAACGTATTTTTTGTATAATCATCCAATGTTTGGTTGTAATATTTTAACTACCTAAATATTGAAACTAGAAAGAATTAAAAAGATAGTGAAAAGTGTTATGGTTAAAATAATTTCACTATTTTAAATATTTTTTTATTTATATAGTCACTTTAAGCATTCCGTAAAACTAATAATTTTTTAAGAACTTAAATTAAGAAAATGTTTATGTAAACAAAACATTGTACAACCAAAAATGTAATAAATTATAATGATGTAATATTTATCAAGTGAAGTGGCGACAGGCGAACATATAAAGATTGATCACTTTTACCGTAACTTGAGATAGGTACATGTTAGACGTAGAGAGAAAACAAGTGTAGTATATCATATACGTATATAATCCTTAACAATATTAATACTGAGACATAAAAGAAAATCATTTTATTGGTCTTTGCTGCATTTTTATGTATAAAGCTAAGATACCAAAAGTACAAACATTTTAAGCAGAAGCCTACGAAAAGAATTAAATGAATCTTCTATATATATAAAAATGGATTGCTGTTCCTAGGTCTCGCTAAAACTCGAGAACGGCTGAACCGATTTGGCTAATTTTAGTCTTGAAATACTCCTGGAAGTCCAGGGAAGGTTTAAAAGGTGAGAAAAATTGGAATAATTGCCAGGAAAATCCTAAAAACAGCCCTTTTCTATTTCACATACAAACGTTTTTTTTGACATTAGATTTGACAACTAACTAATATGTCAATCATTCTGTTTGATTGAAACAGGAAAAACCTGATTATTTATGGCCTCTAAGACGGAATAGAGTTCGCCTGGTCAGCTATACCTACATATATTACTCTTGACCAAACTAACGCGGACGAAGTCGCGGGCAAAAACTAGTAATAAATAAAACATCTTCAAACAAAATTTCATTATGTTCATCTATTTGTTTACTCAATTTGTTAGTCTGATTAGAGACCTTAATAAATGATGCTTATTACGATACAAATTCTTTTGAAATCGAATATACTCACTATAGTCCAGTCATTATAGTAAGTTCACCTCGGAATGCGAGATACCCAGCTGTAAGTCTGTAAATAGTTGTATATTGACACCCTAAAAGTTGTCTCAAAACCTACATACGGTAGGGTGTAAGCAACTATTAAATTTCAAGTTCAAAGGTCACAAAAATCGGTTTTTTG